GGGGGTTGGGGGGTTTATGGTGAGGGTGTTGGTGGAGGGGTTCAGCAACCACAGGCTTCAGCAGACATTGACAACAACGTACCTGGCTTTCTACAAACGTTAACCTTCCGCCCAAAAACTTTGAAAAAGGGGCTGGTGGTGTTAGTGGCAGGGTAGGGATGGTACTTCCCACCCAAAAACTTAGGGGGTGCTTGTCACTGCTGTCTGGTCCAAGTTGCCCTCGATACTGTCAGGGTGATGGTCCTGAGTGCTGGTCACACTGAGGTAGGATAGTAGGGATAGGGGGTGCGCTGGGAGCATTAACGTGGGGACGGGTAGGGAAGGTGGCCTATCCTGTCAGCACAACCACCGGCTGCCGCTGCCAGCGATCATCGGGGGTATAGTCCTTGGCCTTCACAACACCCGGGGCCTTCAAAAAAAAAAAAAAAAAAAAAAAAAAATGATGCGTCACGGCCAACCGGGGGGGAACCAGCCCGGTCGACCGGCCGGTAGGACCGGTCCGGTTCCGGTTGGGGGAGGGCCCCCTGGTCCTACCGGGTTTGCAGCCTTGCTTCTAAATGAGATGGTTTGTTTTTATAATTTCGGTTATATCTTATATTTTGTTTGATGGTTGACTTGCAATTTTGTTGAATAGAAATAAGATCACCACTGGAAACTTGAAAGCTAGGTCAAAGGATAATTTGATTATTAACACAAATATTTTTATGACTTAATTTCGAGCCTTTGGATTTGAGTGTGATGGTTGACTGTCTGCAGAAATCTTTGACTCTTGGTCTGCTGACCCAGTAGGGCCTGGCTGTTGGTTGCTGACTTTCTTGGGGCGTTAACTGACTTTCCATTGCTGTGGGGACTCATTTTGGGGGCTTTGCCCCAAAACTATTGACCTTAGGATGTCTGGATTGATGATCCCCCATGACCCTAAGCATGACTTTCGGCCCCAAATTTTGACTCAGCAGAAGGGTATGCCCCAAACCGTTGCATTGCTGATTTAAACCACGGATCCGTAGCATGAGAACTGTTGTGGATTGTACCCCATGAGCAACAGGGAAAGTGTCACTGGGCAAGCGGTGTGTGTATGGATCAAATGTTTGTTTTGCGTCTGTTGTGTCATGTCCTTTGCTATCAAACCTGACTGATGACTCCATGAGCAACAGGGAAAGTGTCACTGGGCAAGCGGTGTGTCTATGGATCAAATGTTTGTCTTGCTTCTGTTGTGTCATGTGTCTCTTGCTATCTGAGATTATTGCTGTGTGGATTCTGCCGACAGTTGTGATTCCAAATTAGCAAGAAAGTATTTGGTAAGTTTTGTAACTTTCTCTGCATGGGGTACCCTCGAGTCTGACCAGTTGCAGGTCAACACTTGGGAGATATGCATTCTCATGTCTATATTTGTTTCCATCGGATGCAGGGAAAGAGTACTCAAAAGCAGACTCTCGGTACGCAGCACGTGACTCATGTGTTGTGTCTATTGAAAGTGTCACTGCATTTGTGGAAGGTCCTCTGTGCTTCCTCATTTTGTAAGTATTGCTAACCACTGCTTCAACTATACTTTTCTTTTTTTCAATACAATCCAGCCCATTTCTCGATTTATGTGTGTCATGTTTGTGCAGAGGCCACACTAATCTTCTCTGTACCTTCAATTGTAACGGATGGTGTCATTTTACCTGAAACCGATTGCATTGCTCTCCTTGTTTCTCTGTGGATAGATAAACCAAACTGGAATAGAACTCAATCTATAATACTATATCTGTTGTCATACTTGCACGGTTGCACCACACTAATCAGCAGACTGATCTTCACAGTTCAGTTGCTTCCAGAACAGAATATATGATCTGATTTTGAGGGCCCAGGCTCGAATGACGAAGACCCCAGGTTTGCAGGCAGCAGCAGGCTAATCTCCATTGGTTGCCTTCCCATTCAGCGAGGATGACCTCTTTTTGGTTTCTGCTGAGGAGTTCAGTTTGAGCATGACATCTATAACAAACTCCTTTGCAAGTGGTTTGGCCCTCCGCCCATTCTGTCTTGCAGCAGGTGATCAACTTGCTGTTCAACATTGATGTTCCCCACAATCTACATGTTTGCCTCGGTTTTTATGATGCCTTGAAGCTGGGTCCTTTCAGTCCAGCCAAGGGATATTCTTTTTGCATCGGCAGCCGCCTTCTATGGATGGCTTCCGAGGGGCAGGAGGCGTCTTCGAACATAGGAAGTTTCGGAACAAGCCAATGAAATACAGGTTCATTTCGAGTTCTGTAAACCCCATGCTGATCCATATCGCCCCTGTGCTGAGCACAACCACATATCACAGTGGACTATGAATGTCAAGGCCGCACCGGAGGACGTTCACAGTGTCCAGCAACTCGCCGATCCACTTCCAAATCAACCATTCCTACTTCTGATCTGTGTCTTCATTTCTGCTGAGCTCGACTTCTTGAGAAGGGAGGGGGAAGGCATACAGTGGCCCACCCCGCCAGACCAGTAGGCTTCATAGTAAGTTCATACCCGTTTTCGCCAGCCATCTTTTGGACAATAGCCAGTTCAGACTCTGTTATTTCTACTGCGCTGTCCGTTTGATCATCCATATCTGCATCGTCTTTTCTTTTTTTTGTGTTTCATTCTTTTCGGCAGAAAAATTCTGTCATGGTGTGGTCGTTCTTGGGGCTGTCTGTTAGTATGATACTCTCTAGGCAAGTGCAGAGCTTAGGGAATCAGCAGGTGGTCTCCTCTGCATCCCCGCCCAAGGGACAACGGTCAAGCGCCCCCCACTACCTTTTCTCCCCCTTATAGGAAAGGCCTCCTCGTCCTTCTTACCTTGGAATCACACATGGCCAAGGACATGATCCTTTGGAACACTCCCACACGTCCCTATATGATCGGATCCCAATGCCCTTAAATGATGAAGCAGAATAGGAGGTAGTAGCCCTACCTCTGGCAAATCAAGTTCTGAACGAGGTGATTAGGTGTTAGTTTGCAGGGCTGGACTCTGCAAACATGCACAAAATTCGAAAATGGAAACCACAAGCCACACGGGGACTTGCCCTGCTTCTTAGTGGCACAAACAATGGCCGATGGGCCATATCTCCTGATGGCCAACACTTGTCCCAGCACAGTCCTACCTAACGCTCACTTTTCTCTTGCGACTTGTGTCTGCCAACCCCAGCCTATAGATCTTGCCTTTTGTTTCGTGAACATCGTCTTCTTTTGGGGAAGCTGTTCTTTTAGAGTCCAGCAACTGGCTTCATTCTGGCTGTGTTTGTGGTCATGTTGCTTTCTTCTTGATTCCACTTTTGGTCATATGTGGGTTTTTCAAACTCGTTCTTTGTGGGTATACAGATTCCTTGCTGTCACAATCGAAGGGAGGGAGAATAGACAGAATCTCATGCAAACCACTTTAGAATATACTTTCCCACCTACCAAGAAGTTGTTTTTTGATGCCAAGCCGCCATAACCAGAGCCCCCGTGTACCATGATGCTGGTGAGTCGACGGTTGCGTGCATCCACCAGGAAGAAGTAACTGGGGCCCAGCGCTAGTCCAGGACTGGTGGGTCGATCACTCACCGACTTGCCCTCAACCCTTCGAATCGGATCCCTCCTCTATAAGGTGTGCGCTATGGTCGGTCAGGTATAAAACAACTCCCAGAAAGTGCCGGTTGAAGACTTTCCATCCAACCATTCTAAGGTAACCATTCCCCATGGGCTGGAATTAGACGTCCACAGTCAAACAAGCACGGAGTGCGAAGTGTGCCACCATACAAGCCTCACCTCTCAATATGCTTTACCACATGCATTGCACAAGAGTCTATCTTAGCCTTAGGTTAATTCCCTTTTTTCATCTTTAGTTTCTGAGATGCTCGTTGCCTCCATATGTTTTCGACACCTGGCTATGGCATTGAGCTGATGTCATACTTTTGAACCCGACGAAGTGGTACCCAGGTTGGGTCCTCGCCCTTCGGAGCCATGCTTACCTAAGTTTTCCAGTAAGTGTGGGCGGTTTCACTCTTCGAGTGGGGTATTTGCATTCCTATGGGTTTGTCTGTTATCTTCTGAGTTGGTTCGCAATCATACAAGGTTCGAGCGATGTCTTTTCAACTGAAAGCAGTCCAAGGGGTTCGTTGAAGCTCTTCTCTTACTTGCCCGGGTTAGATGTGCATCCTTCCCAAATGTGTTCTCCCATCATTCCTAAGGGGCAAGCTTTCCATTTTGCTTAACAAGCACCAGAAGGTTTGTTGAAGATGTCGTCTTACTTTCTTGGGCTAGATGTGCATCCTTCCCAACACATGTTCTCCCATCATTCATAAGGTGAAATGTTCTCTATTGGGAGCCATCTTTTTGACTTTGGCAAGGTTTCGTTCGAGTCTCCAGGACAAGCGTGTGTCTCAAGGTTACGTCCTCCTCAATGAGCCATTCCATCCAGCATACAACAGCAGTATCATCGCGGTTTGCACAAGCAGACATGGCAGCATTGGTTNCCATATCAACACTCTCTGCAGTTGGTAGTGTCTGTGGGTCAGCTGTATGGAACCGTTGTCTACTTTCTATCAAGCCGATTGGATGGAGACATATATACCTGTCTCTTATACACATCTAGATGTGTATAAGAGACAGGATTACTTCATCTTGGAAGGCCCCCCCCCCCCTCACGCCTGCCTAAGTTAGCTTGCAATACAACTTCCTTGGTTCTGCCATAACCTTCCCCTACTAACATCACCCACTTCGTCCCCCCCTCTCCTCCAGCAATCTGCTCGTTGCCCATTCCCCTCTGGTTCAGAGTTTGCAGGTAGCCTGGCCCAAAGCCCTCGGGTGGGTCTGCCAAAACCCTAAACCCTAGGGGGGTGCCAACTGTCCCATGGCAGTGGAACCGCCCGGGAGACTCCGGGGCGGTGACAGGCCAGTCCGTGTGTCCATTGCGGGCCCTTGCACGCCACGATACTGCTATGTCCCCTCTGCCGTCCGTTCACTTCTGTCGCCTTACCCTAAGCCTTGTTGACTCTGCGCTGTTAGACGAAGGCTGAGCTCGGAGAAGACGTCTTCATTCGTGTCAATTTCTGTTACTGGCCCCTGAGGTTCTCCAATTGAGCCTCCATGATAGCTGTTCAATGTCTGCTGAGTGCAAATGTAATGATCCCACTGCGCCTCTGCTGCCCGCACCCCTGTGCTGGTTTGTATAGAGTTGACAAATAGGGGAAGTTGTGACTGCCGTGCCATGGAGTTTTGCGTGAAATGTTTGCTGATCAGAACTTACTCCTCGGTATGCATCAGCACTGTGTCAGCGCAAATGTGCTGTGTGTAAGATGTGTTGCAGTAGCATTGATACATCAAATGTTGTGGGCATCATGCCATTGATTTGGGTACTGCATCTCATTTTGTAAATGTGCTAAACTAGAAATGAAGCGCTAGACGGACAACAAACCTGGACAGAACTCGTCCGGGTAAGAGTGGTAGGCGACGAAGAGAACGGTCTGCGGGGATATGAAATGGCAACCCCTATCTGCTCCTCCCCTTCGATCCAGCAGAATGGGAATTGGGAGGGTCCGAACCACTACCAATATGAAAATTTGCCGTAAAAGATTGCTACAGAAAAATTCATAAGACGCTTCACGCTTGAGATATCGTGAAGCAAAGATGGTTATAAGACTTCCAGCTGAAGCTGGAAGACGAGCAATTGCAATTGGAATCTATGTTCACAGTGGATGTCTGCATTTCAGCAGGCTCTACAGTGGCACTTCTGTATATATGTTTTTTGTCGGACTTGATCATGTCACGATCAAGCCTAGCACAGACATGAGTGCCAAGCAAAGATTGCTGTCTCCGATGTGCTCTTACTGTTGGAAATCCTCCCACAGAAGAATAGAAAATTTAGAACATTGCCTAATGGAGTGCCCAAGGGCCGTGCAGATCTGGAGGTGGTGGGATGCAGCTCGGCGACATCTGACAGGCAAAGATCTGCCCTGGAACCCAGCCCTATTGTTGCTGGGACAGCCAGCAAATTTCCCGGCAATGTGAGCTGGACCTCTTCAAAGTTCAAACACACAAGACTCACGGTATTGGTGACAATTTGGAGGGCAAGATGTTCACATGAAAGACGCGAAAACAATTTCAGATATCAACAAGCAAAAAAAGAAATTTGTTACGATCCTGGCTATCTTGCAGTGTAAAAACCTCAAAGAAAGACAATGCCGTTCGATTGCAACTGACATGAAAGAACACGGGAAGAGAAATAAACAAAGGAAGGAGAAGAAAGAAGAAGAAGAAGAAGAAGAAGAAGAAGAAGAAGAAGAAGAAGAAGAAGATCGACACCAGCAAAGACCAATGCCAAATTCCCCTTCACCTCGCCACCTTCGTCAACCTCCAATAACTTCCCCAACTTCTTCTTAACAATAATAATTATAATAATAACAATGAAAGAATGAACCAGAACCAATGTGCGAATCCTCCCCTTACTGTCAGCCACTCAAGAGGAATACCATAGCCATATCATACATCCTTCTCGTACTTGATGGCGGACTATCGGAGTGAAGCTACGATGTTCAATGGACAATGCAAAGCTACTATGTCCCTCCTACAATGGCCACCATGCCTAGCACTACCCTTGGAGTCTTTCTTATAGGTGCGAACCGCAAGTGGGCCCTTCTTGATGCAGTGCCAACCAAGAAGATGAAGATGCAGACCACGATAGCCCGGTAAGCTCCCCCGTCACTCTCCTCCTTGCTCACCATCTTCTCCTCCTCCTCCTTCCGCCTACTAGCCGCCTGCCTCCCTGGGCACTTCCACCATAGTCGAGGTGGAGCCGGGGGGCCGCCTTCTTCCTCCTCTGCGCAGTGCTGCCTCAGCTGACCGGACACACCAGCAGCGTGCCTCCAAGCTGCACACTTGCAAACGAGGCGGAGCACTTCGCCTCCCAGTTTTATGTTGCACAGTTGCTTCAAGCCCGCGCAGCCTCCAAGTCTAGCCGGTACCTCCCACTTTCGGAGGGAAACATCATTGCAGACTGTTATCCCCTCCCTATAGGCTCTAGACTCGGGCTACACCTTTTCCCTAAGCCTAGCGGACTCCAAATTCTACTTCGGCCTCCCAAGTTACTAACATTTGTCTTCTTCTGCCTCTCGGCTCGACTTTTGAGTGTTTTTGGCCTTCACAAGCCTTTCCTACGCTACTACCCCGCTACGCCTGCACAACAACATGGACACCCGCTACGCCTGCACAATAACATGGACACATGTAAGTATCAGTGGGCCTTCCCAGCACACAAGTACCCTAGTGGGTCACACACACACCCAATTAATTATGCAGAGAGGAAGACACAAAGAAACCAAACACTCACGCACACACACAAACTTAGAAATCTCAGCAGAATACGGGTCTCTCAGTCTGCGATTTCGCAGGTCATTACAAATTGTGAGAAACAGTGCGAAACAAGCATTCACAGGGCATGGAGCTGGCTCCATGAAGGTTTGAAAGGGGTATAACAGACCAGGAACAAAAATAAGATTAGATACGAAGGAAAATTGGGGATTTGTGGATTGGAGAATTCAATTGTAGCACATTGGTCATCAACTTAAATTTCAAGTGGAGGCAATGGATGGAGGAGTAATAACGCTGGCAGTGGAGACCTACCGCAACCATTTTACTTCCACTGCCGAACACGCCCCTCATCCTGCTTCCATGTCTGACAGAGTGACAGTCTAACTAGCCCACTCGAGGCAATAGTCTGCAGGAGAACCCTCAACTGCTGGCAGGAGCTCCCCGGGTGGAGCGCACTAGTGAGGGCCCCCGGGAATCTCTGCTCCCCTCCTCACAGACTTGCCCCCTCAAACACCCTCCCCGCTTCCCTCACCACCTGTGATCCACCCGTCCCACAAGAAACACCCCCTGCGAGCCGACCATTCCCAAGCGGCCCTCCTTCTGTCCCCCCCCCTCCCCCACCTCCATCTCTCCACTCACCTCTCCCCACTGATTCGTGGCCCCTGAGCCTCCTGTGATCCACCCATTCCACAAGAAGCACCCCCTGCTACCTCACCCCTTTCAAGCGGCTCTCCCCCTGTCACCCCCGCGCCTCCACCTCCATCTCTCTACCCACCTCTCTCCACTGACTCCTGCCCCCTAAGCCCCCTACCTCCACCCCCCCGCCCTGGCTACCCCCAACCCCAAGTGATCCCATGCCGCTTCTCCTCATTGACCTGTGTTGCTCTTCATCCAATGATCTTTCCACAAGCTTGGCCAAGCAAGATAAAACCCTCAACAGAAGTCTAGGTTGTTCGGGGCCTACAGACTGACAAAAAAGGGCAATTACTGTGACTTCAAACAAGAAGATCAAACGACCACAAGCGGTTATCGGGTAGCTGAAAATTCAAGAATGAAAATTCTGAAGTGAGAGTTTTGGGCAGTCTGAAAATCTTGAATGGTTCTGAAGTGGTGAAAGGTCCGAAGACCCTGAAAACCACCTGTTTAGGCAGGCTGCACACTGAAGTGGTGAAGGGTGTCTTGAAGTGGTCAAGTGAGAGTTTTGGGCAGTCTGAAAATCCTGAATGGTCCTGAAGTGGTGAAAGGTCCGAAGACCATGAAAACCACCCTTCACCACTTGAGGATGCAGCCTGCCTACACAGGTGGTTTTCAGGGTCTTCGGAGCTTTCACCACTTCAGGATCATTCAGGATTTTCAGACCTGAATGGTCTTGAAGTGGTGAAAGATCCGAAGACCCTGAAAACCACCTGGCAGGTTGCATCCTGAAGTGGTGAAGGGTGTCCTGAAGTGGCGATGAAAAATATGAATGTTGTTAACCTTCTCTCCAAACGACCTGTGAGTTGAGAGAGGTTCTATGTTGCGGAGTGCAGGAGCAAAAGGCCCCTCGTAAAGAAGCAAATGAACGCTGTGCTCCCAGAGATACTGCTTTGTTCGTTGAAGAGGAGAGAAGTCAATTATGCTCTGGCCTCTGAGATATTGCGTTGTTTCTTGAAGGTGAGAGCAGACAATCTTGAAAAGTGGGTAATCAATGTTGCTGTCCATGTGATACCACTCTGATTGTTTGGATGGGACACTGGATTTGATTTCCAGCAGGTTCAGCTCCCCACCAATAGATTATATCATCGTAGCCATCAAAACCAGTGGGGCCTATTTGCTGAAGGATCCTCTTAAAGATGTT